CGGACGGGAGCAGGACTGAAAATTCTGTCCCGCTCAGACCTTTACCTCAAACTACTTCTAATATGTGTCTCATTTTGACCCCAAGAGCTGCTATGACAATATATCTGCGTTGGGTCAAGACAAATTTTACTTTAAGAAAATGTGGGTGCAGCCAATTTAGTTTGTGATTTGTCCTTCGCATTTGGCCCGTTGTTCAGTGTCTCTGGGTCAACCTGTCACGAGAAGTGGGCCCATCTCCGGATCCTGACTTAGGCTCGGTCAGGACGACATTCGCTGGAGGATGTGCATGTTTTTGGGGAACGTGTCAGTCACCTTCAAAACAATGAAAACAAAAACATGTCTGTAGTGACTTCCCTTAAAGCTGCAGCATGAGACGACCTGCCAGACGTGTCATATACTCAGCTCCGACACGTCTCCTCCTATAATCCATACACCCGCTGTACACACCGCCCATACGTTCTGCCCTCGAGTATCCTGGGGCTCATTTAAACCGGTGACATAACGCGATCCTATAACTTCCTCGTCCTTAAAGCGTCATTAAACTAAACACGACTCCTTTTAAGGCCAGTTTTCCCACTCGCTGCGTAAACGTGTATTTAAGAAGTGGGAGGAGGCTTCGGAGATGATAACCAAATATGCAATAAAACATGGACTAATGACACAGGCAAATCCACACCTAACACTTGAACGGACATTTAAAGGCGCATTATGCAACCTGCCCCTGCCTGTCTCCATGGAAGTGTTTTTATTGGTCAAAAATACACTGGAAAAACATGTATTATTGCTATAAACTGGCTTTCCTCTCTGCAAATCTGACCTGTAACTTTGTTTTATTCTCTCACCTTTGTGGAAATAGATAGGTTTAATGCCATACTGTGAAAAAAAATTAGGCAATATAATAACATCTCCATGGAAACAGCTGGTAAACCCTCCACTAGAAATGTTACAGAGTCCTCCTTTAACATCTGTTTATTGCAAAGAAGACACAGAATCTTAAATGACACATGAGGAGAATTCTACAGGGACACAAGAAGGACAAAAAGCTCCCGGTCATTTCTTGTTTGAGTTTTCTGTCTGACTTCAGCACAATTTTGCAGTTCTATTTTTAGCCGAGCTGTCATCGCCACTCTTCTCTCCGAAGATACAAAGTCACTCATGCAAAATTTCGTGGAACAGTTTGACCCCGCACGGTAACCGTAATCGAGTTGCTTCTAATTTAATAAATGCAAGATAAAGTTTATATTGTACTGTGGAAAATTCCAGGCAAAGCAGTAACATGTCTAGACAAACAGGTGACAGAAAACTAAAACTTTATAGTGTGTCTTTAAACCTGCAGCTCTGGGTTGATCAAATTTCAATGCAAGTATTTTTAACCTTATCATAGTCAACACTGCCAACCAAAACATCACAGGAGCAGGTTTGGAGATGTTGTGATGTTAAAGCAGATCTGTTATGCAAAATCGACTTTTCAGAGGTTTTAACCATGTTATAATGTGTGAAAAATCCCTCAGTTCATCCAGGAGGAATCGAGTGCCTAGTGCCTCCGCTCAATTTCATTTCTCTCCAGCAACTAGGTCAGAAATCAAAATACACTAGACGGTTCGCAATAACCCCGGAAGTGCGAGTCTGGGCACCAGCCAATCAGAGAAGAGTGATATATTAAAGGTGGTATAGAGGATTTTTTTAAGGGAAGTGAAATACAGCGACCGTCCTTTTTCAAATGTTGTGCATGTGTGACACCACCTTCCTCAGTAGAAACATCTCCTCCTCCCGCCTCTTTACTCTAGAAATCACATTTGTTTACATCCAGTGCATGTTCAGAATTACCGTTGAAGTGACCTGCCTAGAAATATTTTAGCGACCGACGCGTCAGTTTTTAGACCCTTCGGACTTTCTTTTGGGGCGAACTGGTCTTGGATTCTCGTCCGCCATCGCAACAAACTTTGTGCGAATTGCGAGGAAGCGACAGTTTGAAAAAGCCTCTAAGAACCGCTGCATAAACCACATAATCCCCGAGCGCTGACGAGTCAGTTACACTTAAAATGTAGAGAGTTTGACTGACAACCTAACAGCCAATGGAAAAAGAGGGAGCCTCGTTTTCTATTGGCTGATGTTTATCTGGCCTCACTACGTCCACAACTGATAGATTTTCATTCTTTCTTTTTTTTTCGGTCATCATAATTAAAAGGCAGCTGCATCTCTGTAATGGTATTTTAAACTTTCAATGACAATTTTAAACAAAAAAAAAAATCCTCCATACAACCTTTAAGTGTTGGCAACGATTCCCGAGATCGAGGATTTAAAGCCAGAACAAAGAGAATGTTTGGTGAATTTTATCAAGGGGAAAGACGTTATTGTCCTTCTTCCTACGGGATTTGGGATAAGCTTAATATACCAGTTGGCCCCATTAGCGTGCGATTGGTTAAATGATAGTAGTAGTAGAAGTACCCGCCTACCGTCGAGTGAACGAAATTTAAAGCTGTGAGGTTAGTACGAAGTGAAACGAAGTAAAACCGGCTGATGAATCAGGCTAGGAGGAATCCACGGCAAAGGAGAAATTCAATTTGTTGAGTGTTGATTAGCAATATGGCCTCTTAAAAATAAGCCATTAAAGACACGAGTCACTCCAGATACAACTCTGAGTGAGTAAATGTTGATGAGAATCTACTATAACACGGCAAAGGAGAGATTCAATTTGTCAACTGGACAACAGTCTGAACTGAACTGAACTGAAGAAGCAGCTTGGATGAGTTGCGAAACATATTCAACCAAATAAACTTTTGTCCAGTTGACAAATTGAATTTCTCCTTTACAACGTTACAATAGTTTCCCCTCAATATTTACTCACCCAAAGTTGTATCTGGAGTGGTTCCTGCATGCTTGAGAAGTCTTTAATGGCTTATTTTTAAGACGTCATATTGCTAATCAACACCCTTTTTCATCACCACTGGCCTACACCACTGGCCTACACTCACTACCCTGATTCATCAGCCGGTTTCACTTTGTGGAAACCGTCTGACCTCGCAGTGTTGGAATGCGTTCGCTCGATGGTAGGCGGGTACTTTTTGTCATTTAACCAATCACTGCTATTTGGAAGTCACATATGTAATGCTATTAAGCTTTTCCCAAATCCCGTAGGAAGAAGGACAATAACGTCTTTCCCCTTGATAAAATTCACCAAACATTCTCTTTGCTCCGGCTTTAAATCCTCGATCTCTGGAATCGTTGCCAACACAAAATGTATGGCTCTTCGCTGAACTTACACTTCCGGGGTTTTTTGTGAACCGTTTATTATATTTTGATTCCTGATCTAGTCGCTGGAGAGAAATGAAATTGAGCAGAGGCACTAGGTGGCACCAGCCCGGCTATACACTCACTGCTCTGTTCTTACTTCGTTCTCCAATTTTATTTTCTTAATCTGTGATACGGGCAGGATAAAGCAGCGTTGCATAGTCATTTTGGTACACATGAAAAAAAAAATCCACTCGCTTGCATGATCTGCTGCTGTCCAGAGGAGTTTTTGACTCTTTGTTGTCATGACATTTACTTCTGCTTCCAATGGGCATCACAGTTTTCTAACAGCGGATTTGTTTCTTGTAATAAGTTGTTTTAGATGAGTACTGCAATTTATGACACATGATGATCCACAGGCGTCAAAAATTATAACTCTACAGCAGACACGAGCACAACAGGTCTTCTTTAAAGTTTGTACAAATAGAAGAACTTAAAGAACAAACTGCTCACATCCGCAGGTACCGCATGGAAAAAGATCACGTGTTACCTTCTCCTCCCAGTTGTCTTAGCCAAAAACAATACAAAAAACAACAAATCAGTACAAAATAAAAGGTGCCAGCATGAAATTAAACCCTCCAAATCTTTCTGAAACTATAAAAACATGTAAAAGTTGTAAACAAGGAGCC